GGTAGCCCGGGCCACGGAGACGGCAGCGTCAGCGGCAGCCCGGGCCACGGAGACGGTAGTGTCAGCGGCAGCCCGGGCCACGGAGACGGCAGCGCCAGTGGTAGCCCAGGCCACGGGGAAGGCAGCGTCAGCGGCGTCCCGGACCACGGAGACGGCAGCGTCAGCGGCAGCCCGGGCCACGGGGACGGCAGCAGCGCAGCGGCAGAACGTCGTAAAATCGGAAGCGACAGAAAACAAAACTACAAAAACCAAGCCCAACAATCTAGGATTACTGGCGCCTACAAACCGCAGCCGGCCGGAGCCCACCGGCGAAGCTGACGGGCTCGGGCCGGGCGCCGGCCTCCATCCGGAGCGTGAAGAGGCGCGCCGTGCCGTCAGCGGCGCTGTCGCCGAGGAAGACGCGCCCCCGCGCCGCGTCCAGCACCATGCTCGACACCTGGTGCAGCGCTGACGTGTTGAAGCTCAGCTGCCGCGACGAGCACAGGCTCACGTAGCTCAGCCGGGACCCTTGCGCTATAAGCAGGTCTGGGGAAAAACGTCACAGACGGTCAGATAGGCCAGGATCAGGTAGGGGGGGGGGGGGGAGGGGGCTAGAGGCAGCAGGACCGTGGACACTGCTTGGGCTCAGCTCGATAAAGCTGGAGACACTGCTTGGTAATCAGCTCGGTAGGGCTAGAGACGCCTGGTAAATGCTTTCATAACCCACCCGACCTCCTGGTGTGGATCAGGTCATGACAAGCCAGAAAGGCTAAGCAGGCCTGACAGAGAAACGGTCCTGACAGCCCGAGTCTGCCGTAGACAAAACTATTCCCGCCCAGGTCCGGTGCGGAATAGCGACCCGTCATGGCAGCCCAAGTCTACCGTAGACAAAGCCATGTCCCCAGGCCCGGCGCAGATTAGCGACCCGTACGGGCAGCTAGACTCTGACGGCGATAAGATCATGACAATTAAGGTATGGCGCGAAAAAAAACGCTTCACAGCATACTTCGTAGGAGGAAAGTCGGCCGAGATACGCCTGAATGCACCCGTAAATTGGTACGCGACGTCCGTACAGCCCGTTCGTTAGCACGACTGCAGCCCGGCTCGGGCAGAGGGCTGACATCAGGAACCGCGGGGAAGCGGGGGGGGGGGGGGGGGCTTCAAGAGCCGCCGCTCGGCAGCGGATGGAGGCTTAATAAACCAGCTCAGCGGCCGACCGGACTTTACGACGCAGTCACAGATGCCTATCACTGACGGCTGAGCAGCTCTCGGCGTGTTGTTGTGTGCTTCGGCCCCGGCAGCCGTCTCGTTGCATGCCAGGTAAGCGGCGTGCCCGAAGCTCGCGGCTGACTTTGGTTTGTTTTGCGCGCACTGGGAGCGTCACGCAATCGTGCGATGCGCTGCACGTACCACGACGTAACACCACCGTTACAGCAGCGGGCACGGGCGGCGAGTCTGGGAGCGGCTGGTGTAATACAGCGACAAGCAGGCAGCTTTCAATGACGAGAAGAAAATTTAGGGCGCCACACCAGCTATGAGTGAAACGTTGCGTGGATCTAAGGCTGCCTGCAGCATCTTTCACCTATGGTAGTAAGTGAGTGGTAGTTTCGATTGTGCATGGTCTCACTGTGGTGAATGAAGCAGCGGTGTCTTGCTCCATGTTGGATAGCTGATTCCTATCGTACCGCCGGTGGCGCAACCGAAAATCTGATCCGGCCACAGCCACCGTAAAAATAAACCCGAGCGGCCGAGACAAACACTTGGAATGTTGTGGTTCGAAACACACCTGTCTCGCAGCAAGAGGCGCAAGTCAACCACAGCCACGGACCGGAAACGTGAGCCCGTCTTCTGGGGAGTAGTGAATCTGTCCTCCAGCTCGCTGTAAACGCCGGCGTCCCGCTGCACGGAACAAGGGCTCACCAGCCGGTCCCAGGCGGTCTGTGTTCGTGTGGAGCGTGGCGGGGTGGGTTCGGTGACCGGACGCGGCGACGGCCGACCCAGCGGACATCGCTCGGTCAACAGGCAACGCTTCACGTTTGAATGTATCGAAGCAGGCATCACATATAACGAAACAAGCTCACCTTATATCTACTGGTTGTACTTCTTAAGTGGAAAGTCCACTCTAGACAGCACAATGCTCAGTTTTAGTAAATTTTCTCCCCACTGTGTCATGGTTTGATTACGATCATCGTATCTTGCACAGCATTGATTGACCGCTAATCGACGGTCGTTTATGTGGAAATCGCGATCGCGGAATCATAAGCACCAAATATGAACGCCTCTTGAGAATTATATTTTCTTGGCTTTGCTCGCGCATGAGTCATGGAACGGCGGGATTTGAATGACGTCCATCACGGCGCATGAATGCTAAGGCGACTGAAATACTCGCCCTATACACCTTTCTCATTTTCGCGGGCATATACCCCAGAACCTAGAGGTCCTTACGTCTTGAAGAGGGCAGGATCGTGAACAACACCGAAAGGTCTTCAAGATGGCTATTTCAGTTCAAAACCCAGTAAAAACATGGAACATTTCCTCTGACATCAGTGCAGTTTCCGTTAACCTGAGGCTTCTGTGGCTGAAATCATGTTGTTTGGAAACCATGCATGTCCTCGTCACGGAGAAAACACATACAAAAAGATGTTTTGCTCAGGCAGCTCTGTTCACCGCTGTCGTAAATTTCACCCTGCATTTAGGATGCCTGCCATTTGCCTGCCCTGCCATTTAGGATGCCATTTTTCATGTCAAGGGTCGGTAACATCGTCCCACTTGCCGGATATGACCGGTGTTTTCTGACGCAACGGCGTGCATGCCCAGCCTCCATTACGTAACGCCGCTGCAGGGGACGAGGCGCGCCCCCGCCGGCCGCTCGCTCCCAGCCGGCGTCCAGCGCAGTCGCCGGCGTGGCGTCAGACGGCGGCAGCGCGGCCTGAACGCGGGCCGCCGCGTGAGCCCGACACTGCCAGCCGTTACAGGAAGCCAGGAGGACGGCGGACGCGGCGGACCCGCGCTGGGGACAGCCCACGCCGAGGCGGGCGGCGCCGTGGGAATGGGCCGGCGCATGTCACAACGCGCGAGGCAAGGCTCATGCACGCGAGACGAGGATGCGCTTCTCGGCGGATGTTTCCTCAGCTGTTGCTGGGAAGACATCAGTCACAGAAAAGAATCGTTTGCAATGCGACCGATATAGCAGCCAGTTCTCTCGTTCGCTTGACCCCACATCACAGGAAAAGCCTGCGGCAGCCGGTTGGTGCGTGTTATTCCGTGATTGTGGCCGGAAACGCGACCGCATCGGCAGCTGAGAGGGCCATGCTGATGTCCGCGCATCAGGCTGTGACCACCCGCCGTACGTCGCCGCCAGGCGCCACCGTCTCGCCCGGGGTTCACAGTCGAGGCCAATGCCGGCCTCAGCTGAGCGCGACTGCACAGAAAGATGAGGGAGCCTGATGCATAATGTCACGTCATAACTTGTAAACGATGCACGGACACGTTTTCAGATGATAGCCCCACGTAATAGAAACAAGCAGCCACACAAAGGAATGGATGACAGATGGACCTGACGTATGAATGTATCAGACTTCAGGCTATTCCAAGCTGCAGCATCCTTGGTATGTGAGCCCTGCGCCTGGCACCACCCGTCAATGGCTGACGCACACATCAGGAGTTACAGTACCATCGTTGCATCGTTGACACCATTCTCGGTTACGTTTTCAACGCAGCCGAGATTTAGACCGGAGCTGCAAAAACCCACAAAAGGGTACCGGTGTCCCACCAGTAACGCGTCTTTCGTTGTCCAGTTACCGCCCCGATCCCGACCCCCGACTTTTCATCGGTACGAGCAATGACACCGGCTTTCCATGAGCTCATTGCATGTCATCGTTTTGCTGGCACCGGCACGGTAGCAGCACGGTCAGTCCCTGTTCCGCCTCCGGTACTGCCGTTAGGGGGAATGTTCCACATTTGAAGATACTAAGGCAAGCATCAGATATTAAATAAGCTCACTTGTAACTATAGGTATTCTTTATGGTGCAAAACTGCTAGTATTCTTTGAAATGCACAATACTGCTCTAGACAATCCAACTTCACTATTTGAGAAATGTGCTTCCAAATACGCCATGTATTTTGTATTGTGTTTCGCCATGTATTATATATATATATATATATATATATATATATATATATACAATACACCAATATATATTGGCGTATTGTATACGTCATGTATTTTATTATTTTGTATTTTGCCACGTATAATACATCATTATTTTCTCTCTGCCATGGAACGTTTGTATGATGTCAGAGTGGCTGCTTAATTGTCCATGCGATATTAACATCGCAACGAACGGGCTGACTTACTTGCAGTACTTAAACTTCTAGCGAGATATCGTGTTAATTGGTGCGTTGTTTGTAGAAACCAAATATAGTTTAGAGCGCATGTTTTAATCCTTTTTCGTGGTGTCGTTGCATACTTTTCCGTGGTTTCACATCATCTAATTGCATTCACACACTCCCCTACGGCGCTATCCTAAGCTATTCTATTTTCGTGTTCGAAACTTAAATGAAACGCATCACCTTGGCCCAGGGTCAGTTGAAGTTCGTTGATGCCAGGAATCGGAATGGCGCACACCGGCCACGAATAGCTCAATTATTATATATTTTGTGGCCTTCAGCACTACATAACCAATGAGGTGCCACCATTCGTGTGACGTTTACATAGTGGCACGCATGACAGCTGCTTGAAACGATCACGGCATCAGTGCTAACAAGAGCGATAATAGCCACACTGCTATTGACAATCTTCGCGATAACGCCACCGGGTTTCAACGGGCTGATACCGGAGCTGCGGCATGGGGACCACCCCTGCGCAACAACCACCCGTGTCTCCAATGGCGGCGGGTTAGTTCGCGGAACAGCCCGACTCCGCGCCAGATGTTACCCGCCGTAATCACTCAGCTAATACCGGACATCTCCCTTGAGCCTTGATTGCATCCGGGTCTGCTCGAAATGCATAGCACAGTCGGCAGCAAACGCGTCGTTACAAACCACTTCTTCGTCTCCTGAATGACGATCGACTGAATGCGCCTCAGTTCGCGCAGACTAAGAGTACTCTCGATGTATTAGAGTACTTCCGCCTGCCACGATGGCATACAGGTAAGATCAGGATATACTGCCTGCCCGACAGCTGCATACAGGTAAGACCAGCAGAGCCTGCCTTCCCGACAGCTGCATATAGTTAAGACCAGGAGAGCCTGCCTACCCGACAGCTGCATATAGGTGACACCAGGAGAGCCTGCCTACCCGACAGCTGCATATAGGTGACACCAGGAGAGCCCGCCTGCCCGACAGTTGCATATAGGTAAGACCATGACAGCGTGCCCGACAGCTGCATCTCCGGCTACACAGGGGCATTGCCGCAGCAAAGCGATGCCATCGGACTAACCCCATCCCGTTGCCAGGCATCTGCGCTTCGGGCACAACGGAACTTAACTCCGCCTTGGAATGCACAGACCCGCATCTTTCGCTGACGTCACCACCCTGCTGCTTGC